TATAAAGTGTTGCCTAAAATACTTTTGGGGACGTTTTTAAAGTGTATCCAAAGATTTTGACTTTTAGTTACACTAATATTAGCAACACTTCTAAAGTGTACTCTTTAATGGGATAACCTACACTTTATAAGTGTTGTTATAGTTGGCAACAACTATTTACATAAATGGCCACACTTTTAAAGTGTGTTATTTTTATAATTGTTAATACAACACATGAAAAATGTTGCCTTAGTGTTTTTCCAAAATTTTATATTCCCTCTAACATTTTAACATTAAAATTTGATCTCCCTCCATTTTTATTTGGCCAAAAAAATAAAACATTAAAGAAATATTAAAAATAATAAAACATTAAAACAACAAAATGGGAAACATTACAGAAACTTCAGCTGAAACTTTCACTTTCAGCTGAAGAACACATTTTCATCCAGAATTGAAGAACCCATTTGCAAGAACTGAAAAACAGGATCGAAGAACGGAAGAAATCGATTTTCGTCACAAACTCTGTCAAAGTTTAGTTGAAGAACACCATTTTCAGTCGAAGAATCAAAGAGCAACACGATTCCTCTAAAGCAAACTGAAGAAGAAGATCCTCCTCTCCGAGCTTCGTTGTTCAAGATTGGAGAGCTGAAGAAGACGATTTTCTTCAAAGATTCTTGGGTAAACTGTTGTTCCATCAGATTTTCTTTTGAAAGTTGAAAGAAAATGCTTCACAAATCAACTTGCTTCATATCTTAAAGCTTTAGGGTTGTTGGAATAGAGTTGATCAGGTAAGATATTTTATCTTCAAAAGTCTAAATTATAGCTCTAAGATTTTGATATTCTTTTGTGTCAGTCCAAAATTAAAGTTAGGGTTTTTATGACTTGTGTTATTGATACGAGTTTTGTTGATTTAGGGAGTTTAGTTTGTAGTTGTATGACGTATAAATGGGCAGATTATCTTTGACAGACTAATTTTTTCTCTTGAATGTTGAATGTAGAAGCTGAAGCTAAGTCAAAAGTATCTGAAGAACTGAGTTGTAGCTAAGTTATCTTTCTTCGAAGAACTGAAGTGTTGAAGTTGGCGATACCTATAATATTTTGTCCCTAATATAGATTTCGTCAAGTGTAAGTGGCTACTCTACATGAATTTGAAAAAGTTTTAATGTATGTTTTAATGTCACTGTTTTTTTAGTCTTTTTTAGTCTTCCTGAGTTCATGATTGTGCTCGTCTTAAGCTTGGTTTGTTCCTTTGTTAACAACATTGATTCTGTCTTGTAGCTATTTGCTGGTAAATTTTTTCTTTTTTCGACTACATGTCTTGAAGTGTCTAGAAGTCATTTTGTTGTTTGTCTAGTGCATTTTTCAAGTATAGATCAGAAACATTGGTTCAATATTGCTTAGTTGTTTTGGGATCAGCTCGTACTATGAATTTGTTAAACTTGTTTTGTAGTTTGAGTTGCACTATATAGAAAATAAATCATATGCCTTAGAAATTGGAGATATAACATATATTTTTAAAGTCTAGAACGGGTGGAGAGGGAGCAGTAACTTGTGACAGTCTTTTCTGCTAACTGTTACTAGCAATAACAGAATAAAAGTAGAAGATTTGTTTTTGTGGTATGGACAACTTGTTGAGTTTTGGATATTGTTGAAAGTGAGGCTTGCTTCATCTAAGTTTTAGAAGAATTAGGAGAAGTTAGTGCAAACAAAATGGAGAGAAAGTCTTGTATGATGCTAAAGTCTGACCTATTTGATGAGTTAGATGCAACAGATGAGAAAATAGCTTGTAACTTTCCAATTTCATTACATGTCAAGTTCTTCCATATAAAATAGTAGTAAATAGAATTGTAAAGACAGTCTATGGTCAAGTGCTTTTTTCCTCACTGACTTTATGTTTCTCCTTCCTATCGACTTCAATGGTTCTGTCATGCTCCACAAAGTGGTGTTTCTTTTGAGCTTCAGGGGGAAGAGACCTATGGTGGTATCCACCAACATGCTTTCTCTGTGACTTCAGTTGTTTGATGCCTTTCCTTTTAGTCTATGTCAAACTGTGGATATTCCAGTTAGTAGTGAACAGGAATAAGCCTACTGAAGAGCTTAATATACATTTATTCTTTTGTAATTTTTGAAGAATAAACATGTTGTAATTTGTACGCTTTCAAGTTTGAAACTTGTAACCATATCTATAAGACTATAGTCTATTCATCTTCGTGATGAAACTAAATAAAAAAATAGTTTTAACATATAAGAATTAACATCAGAAAATAATGTTGTTTTCTTCTTTACATTCCTAATCATAGAGAACCTTCTCACTTTTTAACTATGTTTATCGGACTCTCCAAATATGTTATTACACCATTGCATATTCTGATAAGTGAACTAGAAATTGGACTCTCCAAATTTGAGTTTCACTAGCTAAGTCTACTTTGTCCAAAAAAGTGAACTAAAAATCATCTTTTAAGACTGCATATTCTGTTATCTCCTGTTGTTCTGTCCTCTTTAATATGAATTTTGTCATACATACATAAAGCTTATACTTCTGTTCCTTCGCATGTTTTAAACTCTTCCAGCCAAGGACCTATTTAAAAATGAGAAACTTGGGGTTGTTCTTTACACTTCTACTCCTCACGATTTTCTTATTGAATAGTGAATTCAAAAGCTCTAATTAGATGATTCATGCTATGTTACTTACCTAGTACTGATTGGATATCTGTTTTATAGTTTGAAGGTTGATCCACGCTGATCTTACTTGCGACTTGTACCATTTCCATGGATCAGATGAATTGATTGAAAAAAATATAATGAAATATGACTTGACAAGTGTAGTATGTGCTAATGAGATAATCATCTCATTTTGGTATATTGAGGTCAGTTTATTCTCCATGTCTTTATATGTAAACATGAATATATAACTTCTTAAATGTCTTTAATTTATAGGACACATGGTAGAAATAAGGTATTAAAACTAGCATCTCTCACTTTTAGGACATGAAGTAACTCATCAAGTATGTAAAGAATACTGAATCAAAATAAGTGATACATACAACAAATATTATCCATTTCCTTTATCAAATTATGTGAAAGTTTCTGCTTTGTCACGATATATGTTAGATATGATATCCATTTCCTGTATACAGTCAATGGCATAGTGACAAAATTTGCTATAGAAAATGTGACGAAGACTAGGATAGTAATTGCAGATAGAGAGATACATATATTGGGATCGTTTTTGAACATTAGGATTGCTAGAGATTCACTTTGTAGTCTCATTATGGGGTCTTCCGCTGGTAAGGTTTATTACAAGGCCAGAGTTGTTATTGCCAAGTCGAGATACTTTGAATTTTTTTTTTATAGGATGTTTAAGTATCAAAGTTTGATTTTTTTTAAAATTATTGGATCTTTGACAAAGTTCTGTCTTTTTCAAAAGATGAACACTTTAAGTATGGAGTGATTATATGTGTACTAGGCGATGACCATATAATTTTGGTTTCATGGTTATATCTTTGTGTTATCTTATATATGCTAATGTTATATAATTATTCGTACTTCTTATGTGGTTTGTTAGACAATAATATGATTATTTCAATAAGGTTAGCTAGGTTGCCAGTGCACATTGTGTTTTGAAGACTTGATTTTACTTTTAATAACAGACTTAAACTTTTTGATTGCTTAACTACTCATCTCAGAGCAAATTAGAATAGTTTGAGACCATTTTGTTGGTGTCTATAATTTTCAGAATTATTGTGTGGATTGTTCTGGTCTATGTTTCTTCCCTACTGTACATGCCAGATATGATCGTAAGAGTCTGTGTTTCTTCCCACTTTATATGACAGATATGCTCATAAGACAATACATCTGCATAGACATATTTTTTTGTGAAGTAAGAAGGATGTCATTAATAAAGCATCAAGCAGATGCACAGATTACAAAAGAATGATTTTTCTGTGTCAAGCAAACAGTTAACAACACTGATGATAAATTCTACGTAAGAATCCACACTAAATACGGGAGAAAGATAAACACAACATAAAGAGTAATCAAACATCCTACTTTAATGGTAATCCAACTGAAACAAATTTTTCTGTGTCAAGCAAGAGTATTTTAGAATAATCCAACTGAAACAAATAAATTTAGGCCGGTAATGGAGGTTTCATATCGTCATTCTGATGCTTTCATTATTTCACTTAAAGTTATTTCTTTCTACTCTTATGCTTGACCTTTTGAATATCTTTGGACTATGACGCATAATGTTTTTATTGATTGGGTTGGGTGTAATGTAGTTCTTTAGTTTACATTCATTCATGCCGAAATCTTAATAACATGATAACATTTATAAAAAATATTACACTCACAAAACATTCACCACAAAAAGTAAGGATAAAAAAGATCTTTCTTCATGTATCACAGATACAACAGTTCAGAAATATAAAAACTTGTTGTGTCACTAATACAGTGAAATTTGGAAACTGTTTTATTACTAAGACAACAAATATTAAAATTATTGTATTTCTAATACAAAGAGACATTCATAAGTCGTTGATCGAATATCTATTATAGGATCATAAGAATGTTTGCTTGAATGTTTAAACATGGTATTAGATATTTGATACTTCTCTGATTTTGTGTGCACAAGAATGAGATTTTAAAGCTTTAACTCTAAAAGCTCATAAAACTCTAAAAGTACTAAAGCTCCAAATTCAATTACAAAACTTTAACTTTTAATCATTTGAGTTATATTTATTTATTTTCTTTCTTAATTGTGTATATCCTATTAATTGTACTTATTTTTTTATTTATAGTATCATCAGCATTGAAAAACATTTGTGGAGGTTTAAAGGTTTGATTTGACATAGTGAACGCCTCATGACTAGGTAAGAAATTTTTATCATCTGATAACACATGATTCTGATAGATTACTCGTGACTTTTAAAACTTATTTGTTAACTGGTTCATGATTATTGCTGAAAGACTAAATATTGATATATTCTTCTAGGAGTTCACATATCCCATCAGAGGATTGGATGAATTTAGCAAGGTATAGCAAAGAGTATATTGATGGCATTGAATCATTTCTAGATTTTGCTTACTCTTATGGAGATCCTCATGGAGAGAAAATTCAGTGTCCATGTGCGAAATGTTGTAATATTCTTTGGAACCGAAGGAATGTAGTGTATGATCATCTAATATGCCATGGATTCATTAAAGGCTATACTAGATGGATCAATCACGGGGAATGGGATATCAAGTTGAATGTTGATGATGATATGGATTACTCGTGTGATGATATTGATGGGTTGTTGAATGATCAATTTAGAGATATTGCACAGGCTGGAGGAGTTTATGATGGTCCAAATGAAGATGCCAAGAAATTCTATAGCTTACTTGAAGAGGCAAACCAAGAATTATATTCTGGTTGTATAGGTTTCTCTAAATTATCATTCACACTTCGCTTATATTTGTTGAAGTGTTTACATGGATGGAGTAATGAATCATTCACTTCTCTTCTAGAGTTATTAAAAGAGGCGATTCCCGAGTTGAACATTCCTCAGTCTTACAATAAAACCAAGTCTATGGTTAAGAATCTTGGTCTGGATTATGATAAAATTGATGCATGTCCAAATGATTGCATGTTGTTCAGGAATGATCATAAGGAAGACGAATTTTGTCACACTTGTGGAGCTTCACGGTATATTCAAGCTCCTAAAGTTGATAGTGAGCTTGAGTCTTCAAAAAAGCAACATCGAGTTTCTGCAAAGACTTTGAGACACTTTCCATTAATTCCTAGACTCAAAAGGCTATTTATGTGCTCAAAGATGGCAGATTCGTTGAGGTGGCATGAAGAGAAACGTTCTAAAGATGGAAAGTTAAGGCATCCCGCTGATGGTCTAGCATGGAAAGACTTTGATAGGGTGCATCCAGATTTCACACTAGATTGTCGCAATGTGAGACTTGGCTTGTCAAGTGATGGATTCAATCCATTTCGAACCATGAGTATATCACATAGCACATGGCCAGTTATGTTGATGATTTATAATCTGCCGCCTTGGATGTGCATGAAATCTGAATATTCCATACTTTCTTTACTTATACCTGGACCACGATCACCTGGAAATGACATTGATATTTACTTACAACCATTGATAGACGAGTTAAAATTATTATGGGATTCTGGGGTTGAAACATATGATGCTTCCAGAAATGAAACTTTTCAAATGCGGGCAGCTCTTATGTGGACAATCAGTGATTTTCCTGCATATGCTATGTTATCTGGTTGGAGTACAAAAGGCAAGTTTGCTTGCCCTTGCTGTAACTATGGCACTAATTCTCGCTATCTTAAACATAGTCGAAAAATGTGCTATATGGATCATCGTGTTTTTCTACCGATGGATCATCCATGGAGATCAAACAAAAGATCATTCAATGGAAAAACTGAATTTAGGCCTCCTCCAGCTCCTTTAAAGGGAATTGATGTTCTTAATAGCTTACGTGATTTTGAAAATGTGTTTGGGAAAAAGAAAAAGAGATCAAATGATGGCCCATGGAAAAAAAGGTCAATTTTTTTTGAATTACCTTACTGGCAGCATAACTTGTTACGTCACAACCTTGATGTAATGCACATAGAGAAGAACATAGTTGATAGCATACTTGGAACTCTTTTGGATATTTCAGGAAAAACAAAGGATCATGCAAAAGCACGGTATGATTTGAAAGATATGGGAATCAGGAAGAACCTTCATCCACAAGATACAGAAGATAGTAAGAGAACAAAGCTTACAAAGGCATGCTTCTCAATGACAAATGGAGAGAAATCCATCTTTTGTGGAGTTTTAAAGACAGCCAAGCTACCTGATGGTAGTGCCTCAAATATATCTAGGTGTGTGCACTTGGATGAAAGAAAGGTGTCTAATTATAAAACCCATGATGCTCATTTCATGTTACATTACTTGCTTCCAATACCAATTAAAAGCATTCTTCCTGATCATGTGGCTATTCCTTTGATTCGTCTAAGTTCCTTCTTCCATCGTTTGTGCCAAAAAGTAATCACATTGGAGGAACTAGATTGCTTAGAAGTAGAGATCATAGAAACAGTAAATCAGTTGGAGCGAATTTTTCCTCCTTCATTTTTTGATATCATGATTCATTTGCCTATTCATTTGGTGAATGAAGTGAGATTAGGCGGCCCAGTGCAAAATCGATGGATATATTCCACTGAAAGAGAAATGGGTACATTCAAATCATACATTCGCAATAGGCGTTTTCCAGAAGGTTGCATAGCAGAGACACGAGTGGGAATAGATTGCATGAATTTATTCTCAAAATATCTGCATCGGGGTGTGCATACCAGATTTAATAGGAGAGCGCGAAATAATGATGAATGTGACCCAAGTGACGCAGAACCTGTGAGTTTGTTTTCTAACAAAGGAGTTCCTTTAGGAGCAAAGAAAACTGATCCAATCATTTTAGATGACAAGTCACTAAGTCAGGCACATGCATACTTATTGGGAAATTGTAACGATGTTCAAGAATATATTAGGTACCTTAATTTGAATATAGTATTCTTTTTGTATAATTAATTTTTATCTTATTTAATTTATTATTTTAACAAATAAAATAAATGTTTTGTAGAGAGCATGAGCAAGAGGTTAATAATCAGTCACGAAGATCTAAATGGAGAAAAGCAAAGAATCATTGTCAAAACTTCTCTCAATGGTTTGAAACTCGTGCTTTGCAAGAGGATGTGTCTGATTTGATAAAACAATTATCTAGAGGACCAAATTCTGTTGCGAAAAGATATTCTGGGTATCTCATAAATGGATATAGATTCCATGTTAGGCAGCGTGATACAAGGCGTAAAACACAAAATAGTGGTGTTACACTAATTGCCTCAACTACAAGCTTTGCAAGTTCAAAGGATAAAAATTCGATTGCTGCAGATTTGACTTATTATGGTAGAATAGTTGATATTGTTGAATTAAACTATTACAGCCATTTTAAGGTTGTTTTATTTAAGTGTGATTGGTATGAGGTTGAAAAAGATGTTTATGGCCTTACTTATGTCTATTTTAACAAGAGATGTTCCCAGGAAGAGCCTTTTGTGCTTGCATCTCAAGTACACCAATGTTTCTATGTGCAAGATCCATATGATCAAGATAAACATTATGTTATGAAGACTGTTCGAAGAGACCTGTTTAACATGGGTGATGAAGTTGAATCTAATCTCCCACAAAGTTATGAAAATGAGCCATCTGAACATTCGAAGGGTCCATCTATACCAAAAGATAATGGTGAAGTACTCTTAACAAGGACTGATTTACCAGAAACAATCATTGATGTGCCTGTGGAGGAATTTGTCAATCAACAACTTGAAGTTGAGTATGAAGAAGAGTTTGAAGATGAGTTCGAAGATGAGTTCGAAGATGAGTCTGAAAATGAGTATGAAGATGAGTTTTCAGATGCGCTTGAAGACGAGACTGAAAATGAGTATGAAGATGAGTTTGATGATGAAGTCGAGTCTGAAGAAGACACACCATGAGTTTCATATAGTGCTCACTCACTGTTTTTTTTGTAATATAATAGTTTTGTTGTGATGATCATATAGTGCTCACTCACTGTTTTTTTTGTAATATAATAGTTTTTTTGGTAAAACACATTAATATATCTAATCTGTATAATGTAATATGTTGCCTTCTTATCTGATTATTATTTTATTGAGGAACCTATACTTCTAGCTGATTTTTGCTTGATTTGGTTGTTTGTTATTAATATACTTTCTGGTTTCATTTTATTATCAGGCAGTTGGCATTAGAGGCATTCAACTCTGTAGTTTGAAGTTGCTTCTGATTTGGTCGTTGTCCGGAGTTTGTCGCTCCGAGAGAGGTACAACTCTTTACCTTTTATTAATTTAAGTAATAAGAAGCTCTCCAGTTTTTAAACAGTCGCGTCTGCAGTTGTTTGAAATATCTTGTTTCATATGTTATCAATTTTTTCTGTTTGTTCATGTAGTTCTTCCAATTTCAATCCGTCCTGTTTTACTGTGGAATTCAGTTACATAGTGGTATTAAGTTACACTCCTCAGTCCCTATTCATTCTGCTTTATTAGTGCCCATTTCTTTACAATATTGAGTTATGCCTTACAAAAAATTCACTAAATCCCACATGCACATTGTTAGCTAAGTCTATAAGCAGACTAATGAGTCTTATGACAAATACCAAATTTAATTAAATTGTATCAACAATTATGCTTTATATCAGTTAGTTGGTATTGCATATATGAATCCTTTATATGAGAGATCCTGACTCTGTGTATATGATTTTATGTCTACTTCCTCTTTTAGCACCTTTACTCATTATAGTGTTGCACCTAGATTGTTGTACGTATATGTGTTTGACTTATTATGTGATTTAAAATGTGTTCTGTAATTACATTACTGTTTTGTATAAGTTCTACAATATTATACAGTACTTTAATGTATAAATTCAGGAAATTTTGGAAGTTCTGGATATTAGAGAAATTCTGAAAATTTTAGAAACTAAAATGTTGCAATCTACTATAAGAAGCTATCCATCTGTGAACCTTATATCAAAATTACATTGCTGCTACTTCTTTCACTTAAACAATCTTATTATTTTGTAGGTTTACTTACTATTGGGAAACAAATTGAAGAGATTTAAACAAAGCAAAAATAATGAATCAATCAACAATGCTAAAGAAAAAGGGTTTAAATCCAAACAAAGGTCAAAGTCCATTGAAGAATCTGGATGTTGATATGCAATACCGATCAAGTGCTGAATTGGCCAACAAATTCAAGATTAAGAGAGAACAACTTGCAAATGAACGCAATGATAAAGCTAAGAAAGAGCAGGCACTAATATCACATAAAAGAAAGAATTTTGAGGATTTCATTCCACAACAAGGAAAGAGTAAATTGCTTGGGAACAAATCAGTCATTCAATCATCTTCAAGGTTCCATACGTCATTGAAGAAAGATGTTACTGCTTCAGCACATGCGACTGGAACAGCACTAGGTAATGGAGAGGCACGACATGATATTCTTGATCTACCGAATTGCAAACAGGTAAAGAGGAAGCCGGTCATACCAGCTAGTACTCTTGATCAGTTTCTAAAAGATCAAGGGATACACAAAGATGATGAAACAAAACGTGACAACAACACAACAAGTGATGTCGAATTTATGCATACTCCTACTATTAATGAACATAACAAAGGATTGGATGATCGTGTGGAACAAGAAGAATTCAGTAAAGATAAATGTGATGTCGAAAAGGAAATTGACATTGATTGTAGTACAAAAGGTATGTTTTAAACCTTGTATGATTTAGAACTCATTATAAAAGAAATATCTTATTTCACGTCTGTTAAATCAATCTAGAAATGTCGAAGCCAAAAAAAGTTTGAGGACATACAACATGTAAGGATATTCATGCAAGAAATTTGGAAGAAAGAAAGGAGGTTACATTTGATAAAGGACAAGCGGTGGGACCAACTAATAAGATAGTTTCACAATTAAGCAACTTTATAGGAACAATTGCAAGGAATCCTAGATTCATCAGCTTGATGTACACTAGTTGGCATGTGGTGCCAAAGGATACTAAAAAGCGCATGTGGGAATACGTCAATGTAAGAACTACCACTCATGAGAATTCATATTTTTTTTACTTACTGAAACTAAATATATTTTATTTTGCATAGTCCAAATTTCTACTTCCAGTAGAAGGAAAGAAGTGGGTGATGACTGGTCTTCATGATGCTTGGAGGCGACACAAGCAAAAAATTAAAAAGAATTTTTTTGATAAAGATAGTGCCCTTGAGGATATGCTAGCAAAATGTCCTGATGGCATTCCACATCATCAATTCCGCCAGTTGATCGAGTATTGGAAACACCCAACTGTTCAAGTAAGGTTAAAATGGTGCATTTCCACTCATCGACTAATTCTGTGTCATATCTTTTCTTTTTATAGATATCAATTCAATTATCTCTTTGTTTTTAACAATAGGCTATATGCGAGATGAATTCTCAAAACAGAAAAAAACAAAAGTGGAGGCATCGAATGGGACCTATTAATTTTGCTAGAGTACGCGTGGCATTGGTAATACTTAGCTGACATTTCATACAAAATTTGATTTTCATTTTTTTGTACTTTATAAGAACTTACTGATTTTTTAAAATTTCTTTTGATATAATCTATAGCGTGCAGCCAAAGACAACAACGAAGAACCATCAAAGCCTGAAATATTTATTGCAACTCGTACCAAGACGGGAAAGGAAATCCAGGCTGATACCCAAGTTGCAATAGTAAGTTTTTCAAAGAGGATTATTAGTGAACTTTATTCAGACTTAACATTTACATCGTGGGGAGTTTGACTACATTAAATTTTAATCATGTATGCCTTCTTCTTCTTCTTCTTGTGCAAGTTCAAGGAGATATCAATTATTTGTCGACATTATTTAATTATTTTTTACGAAAAGTTTTCATAATGTTTTAATGCTTGATACTACTTACAATTCACTATGGATGCCAATTTTATTCAATAGGCTGAACTTCAAAGTCGCCAAAATTCTGGGGAAACAACTGATGATGCATTTAGGGCAGTGTTTGGAAAGGAGCAGCCTAGTCGAGTTAGGTGCTATGGTAGATCAGTGACAACAAGTTCTTTGAAGAAAGATGAGGAAATTAACAATCTAAAACAAAAGCATGCCGATGAAATCACTTCTCTAAAGGAAGAATTGAGAGAAGAAATGCGACATTTATTCACTCAATTGCTGCAAAATAACCCTGGATTGAATTTTCAAGATATACCCGGGTGTGTTGGATCTAACCTTGCTTCACCTATTGATGCAAGTAGTGCACAAGCTGTAAAAGGCACAAATCTTCCATATTCTTCGGGGTCAGCTCAAGATTCGGTTCATCAAAAGGTATTTTATATTTCAAATTCTCTATTAATAGTGTCAATATTGTTTTTCTTCTAGTTTAGTTGGTGTTATTGGTAATGAAATTCAAAACTTATTTTTACTTGTCTAAGTTTAGTCCACCTATTTATAACTGTTAAGAATGTTTTTGTTTTTGGTTTAAGCATTCGAATCGTTAGTTGAATAATTGTTCTATTAGTATTGTGCAATTGAGGAGTCTGTGGCTAACACATTATGTTTTATGGCATATTCCAATGGTGTTCAATTAAAAAAATGATGACACTATTTTCTACCTTTAGCTTCTGAATCCAGCTCATTGTAAAGGCTATTGTAGCTGGTCTTTTAATGGTCTGTCTGCACCTTTATGAAGCTATTGCTATTTTATTCATATTGGTGTCTGTTAGCTAGGTGGTTGTGGCTGTTAGTATTAATGTGGTGCAGCTTGTGATCTTGTGGGTAGATTTATTATGTTTGATAGATCCTTAATGGTTACTTGTTAAACTACAGACAAGGCAGAGAAAATTGGAGAGGAAAATCTGCAGGGGTTTTTCTTGCTACTGGTCCTCTATTTTTTGTTCATTGTCTGTTAAATCTTTAACTTGTTCAAGATTTTGTTTGTGTCTTTTTATAGCATTCCTTCTCTTCTTACTAAACATTTCTCTTGTCTGTATTTTTTGTTCACTGTCTGATGATGAACCTTGCCCTAGAGATACAGTCTGATGATGTTTGTGTCTTTTTTGTATGCACTAGAGATGCAGTCTGATGATGAACCTTGGCCTATGCTGCAGTTCTTTGAAAATATCATGTTCATGTTGTTATGTATTGATTTTTGTGGACACTTCTAGAGTATGTTATGAACCTTGTTTCTAGTGGTCATCACTGGTTTGTTTGAACTACTTGTGTGTAATTTTTACATTGAAGTTTACAACAGAAGACTGCACAAATTAAACTTTTGAAGTTTAATTTTTGAGAGCCAACAACAGAAGACTGCACAAATGTTGTAGTCCTTATAATGTGTAATTTTTACATTGAAATTGTATTTAGATTTGGATTGGTTGTCTTGCAGTGAATTCTCTCTGATTATGCACTTCCACAATTAATTCACAAACTTATAATTTTATTTTAAATGTGCAGGAAAATGTAGGTAACTGAATTTGAATTTGGCCAGAAGTAAACTCGATCCATTGTGGCAAAAGATGAAGAAATTTTTGTATTGTTGTCATATACGTTTGAATGACACTTTTGAGTTTTTGGAACTTGTTGATATTAGAGATCTTTAAGCAATCACTTTCTATGTTCTGGTTGTACATGAAATATTTCTCGAAATTTATTTGAAATATCTCTTCAATTTAATGCTTAATTTGTTCATTTTGTGTTTTAGGTCACTTGTATGTATGTAAATATATTATATATATTTATGCTACATGTAGGCTTATAAATGTTTAAGTTACACTTTGTAAATGTTGCTCTAGGTAGATAAAATGTTACACTTTGAAAGTGTTGCTCTAGGTAGATATAAAGTTACACTTTGTAAGTGTTGCTGTAGGTGAGATATAAAATCAACACTTTATAAGTGTTGCTATAGATGAGATATAAAGTTACA